GAGTGTCCAAGATAACAATGAAGCCAGCAGCAAATCGATCGAAAGTTTGGGGAGCGCTACCATATATTGCGAAAGTATCCGAGGCAGATGCTCGTCTGTTGCAACCGGTGGGTACCGGGATCGCCCACAGACCCGGAGGCAACAATTACACGTCTGGTCATGAGATCGAAGACCCCCTGACGCGCGACGAAACGGCAAATGTCGTATATCCGATCCAGTACAGGTATTGCGGGGCGGACTACGTTTGGGAGACCGGAAAGCGATCGCCAACCCGCATGAGAAAGCACGCAAGAGCGGTGCGAAAAACGGATTAGCTCTTTCTCTTGCCGGAACACTGCACAGCTTCTGACCATGCCTTCGATTTCCAAGACGCTGAAATCTTGGGTTAAGGGAGTGATCAGACGGCCAGAGAGACGCTCAAAGTCTGGCATACCACAATTACCTCCATTAACCGTTGTATAATCCTGGTAGACCCTAGCGGTGGACCGTCCGCAAAAGTCCTATGTGCGCATGTTTGTTTTTCTGGTCCCAGTCTGTGGTGTCTGTGGCTGGCCAAAAACAAACGACCGTTTATCCTCGCGGTTGACTGCAATCTGGTGTTCGTGCAATCTAGGGCCGAGGAGTTTACCTGTTTCGCCAACATACCTTGCATCACAATCTTGGCATGATATACTGAAAACTACAGCCATTTTCTGTCGCTAGTAGTGGGTCTATGAACTTCGTGCTCCGCCACCTGATTATTGATGTCGGTTTGTGAACTACGCCAATCCCAAAAGATCTCATGAGACGTTCTTCATATAGCGGATCAAGAGCCAGAACTTTGGCTTCTCCTCGCTGAACCGCCTTGAATGGGGCCTTCCGAGACTTTTGAACATGGTGGACTTCAGAAGTCCAAGTTCGCAATGATAAATTGTCGCTGGTCTATGATCACATACAACAGCAGAACCACTGTGATGCGGCAGTTGTGAAATGATCAGTTTTTGTCTTACGAAAATGGTTTCTTCCTGACTGGGTGCTTTTTTCGTGTGCTTCAGGATCCACTGTCGGATACCGCAGCTCTGCCCTCCCTGTGGTTCAGCCAGAGACTGATCGAGATTATATCACCAGAGAAGCCTCTCTTGACCAACTTTAATCAAAGATTTGGCAACGATCGGGTGAAGGACCCCAAACACACACACACACGATCAGCCAAAGGTGCCTGTCTCACAGGAAAGGTGGTAATAGGGGTTTTACGGGCGGGGCCTATGCATACATAGAGGAAGAGCAGAATAAGTTTTCGGCGGAAAAGTTTCAATGCACTGACACATGGCAACCGAAATTAAGCAGGACAATTAAAAAAGTAAACAGTAGGTGTCAACAGCGATCGCTTCTCAACTCTCTGATCTCAGGTCATTGTAGCTAATCCACCGAACTGTCTACAACGATCGCTTCTCAAATCTCTGAGCTGAGGTCATTGTAAATAATGTACCAGACCGTCCACAACAGACGGCCCAACTTTCTACGATGAAACACCAAACCGAAATAATCGTGTCGGACTAAAATCCACTTAAATAAGTATATTAGGTATTCCTTCTATGCAACGGATGCTTGGGGGCCTCCACGCGATCCTTACCAAGGATTTTGCTATATCTTATTAATTCTATTATCACGTCTGGTATCATCACATTTAAATAAACTGTTCTCCGTATCATCCCTGCTGACACTTGACTGTTGGAATACTATGTCACATCACCAATCCATTGGAGAACCTATCTCAGTTAACCCTCCAGTGAAGGATCCTGAAGGGACCGACGATTTGACGCCTGTAGAGGACAAGGAGAACCTGAGTGTTACACAACGGTTGCGCCTTTGAGAAAACGGGGGTGGTTGGCCGAGCGGATGATAGGATGGCCAGACTGATGTCTGACAGTTGCTCCTAGATTGGCACACTTAACCGAGCCATATGCCTACATCCCCGGGAGGGGTTTACTGGAGGTCCGACGTTTCGAGTAGTTGATTCGTCTAACCATCTTCAGAGACTGGAAAGTCCTGCGCACAGCTCCCCTTATATGGCGCACTTTGTTCAATGCGTGACCCGCCAATGCCGCCTGTGTGGCTCCTCCAAGAACTCTTCAGAGCCAACGGCTATCCGCAGGCATTCATTGAACGGAGCCGAATGAAGAGCATAGTCAGTCAAACTTGTGGCGGAGCATTGTGTACATTAAAGCGGTCTCAGAAGCCGTGGCTGGAGCCCTCGCGCCACTCGGAATAGGTGTTGCCCACAGGCCTGACTGAACAATCCGCCGGCAAGTGATGTGGCCAAAACATCCGATCCCTAAGTAGGAGATGTAGGCCGTTGTCTACCGACTTTAATGCAACTACCGAAGGTGCAACTACGTTGGGGAAACCGTCCGACGGCTGCAAACGCGAATGCACGAGCATAAGTTGGCCGTGCGAAGGTTGGACCCAAAGTCGGATGTGGCAAATCATGCCGCGCAAATGGGACACATCTTCAACTTGGTCGCCGTTGAGATTGTGGGCCGGGGCGGTGATCCTAGAGCAAGTGCAAGAAGCCTGGATGTCCACCGGCTGCTCTGTCAACCGCCACATCAATTTGCCTCCCCCCTATCTGACTTTACGAACCTTCTTAACGGAGACAGCCACGGAGCGGGGCAATCGGGACCGTCAGTCATCTCTGCGGCCGACGGGGGCGGTTCAGGTCACGGTGACATGCGGGTTTGATGCAGCCACACGGGCGGCATTGGCGGGTCACGCATTGAACAAAGTGCGCCATATAAGGGGATGGGTAGACGAATCAACTACTCGAAACGTCGAACCTCCATTAAACGCCTTCCGGCGAACGCCTCTGCTTCCTTTAATTTGCCACCTGGGAATCGCATTTTCACTACTATTGGCCTACAGCGTCGCCTACTAGGTCCTCTGAGCAAGGCTGGAGTCAGTTCAGACAAGGTCACGTGGGGCCGACAACCGACGACCCCGGAGAAAAGAGGAGGTGCCGACCGTAAGCCACGTGACCGGCGTGACACACTGTCTCACCGACACACCCCAGAGGCCGACAACACCACGCTGGCGCAGCAACGGCCGACCACTCCGCCCTCAGACGAGGGGGAGGCCGACAAGCCCGCTGGCTGAGCGGCAACTACGACAGCCGCGAAGGGAACGTAAGTCCGCCAATGGTGAAAATCGACCAGAACCAGCTAACAGGCAGCAGGCCGGCCAACGTACGTGCATCGAGCACGACGGGTTATATAAGACGGAACAAGTCACGGCCAGCAGGAGACGCCAGCGAACGACTCTGATGATGGAAACGAGAGAGTTGCAGAAACGCCACCATGAACAAAATCTGGTCCATGAAATTGAATCCCCTTCTTCGACGCCTCCGTCTTGTTAGAGGTTAGGGGTTAAGGTTAGGAGTTAGGGGTTAGTGTTAGGGGTTAGTGTTAGATCCCCCATGACCACCGGTCCCCTATGACAGGTGACTGTGGCTTGTCTACAGTAGGTGCGGCCACGTAATAAGATCCGACCCATCCTCGAGCTCTTTGATTTCTTTGACGAGGACGATGCTCGCTCATATCCCCTCATCAGGCAAGCCTACTACAACTCTGCTTCAAGAAGGACAGTAACGACGGACATCAGCCCTATGCCGGATACCAGCTGGCGCAGGCATGCAGGACGATTTGAGAGAGTGGAGAGTCACCAGCGCAAACGTGCTCCGACGGGGAGAGGAAAGGCTGTTTGGCATCAGATGTTGGCGCCAGTACCCGAAGAAAAGGACGCCGTTAATCAGGAGGACCGACCGCGGCAAATAACACCAACCAACATAACCTTGTGCAGCCGCTCAGGGTAGAGGAGGCGTAAAGTTAAGTTTAGGATCAGGCCTAAGGCTACCGTTTTAAAGCTGGGGTATACAGTAGGTGGGCTAACTCATGGAATGTCGACCGAAATTCGGAAATGCGTTTTCGTTTCGAAAAGATTAATTAAGTAGGGTTGTAAAACTAGTCAGCCTGCAGCATAATTCTATAATATTTCAGTTACCCAGGATGCCGGCTTTCGAATGAACTTCCTCCCGACTGCACGCAAAAACTACACTCTGTAAAAAATGACTACATACTACATACTACATAAAGCAGTATTTCCCCGGAATGAATTTAAGGCAGGCATGAACAGCAGAATTTATTGGTACCAGTAGATTTCGCGACGGCCTCTCAACTGCAGCCTGTCGTTGCATAACACAAATAACAAGTGAGAAAGGTACAGGGGTTTGAACTTCGATAGGTAATTACACCTTTTTCTAATTTATACTCGGAGGGGCATAATTCGGTTTTAAAAAAGTTTCTAATTGTGGGATTTTTAAATGCCGTGAAAAGGCCGTTCGTAAATCGTCATGTCTCTGCATTTACATATGTGGCTTGTGAAGTTAACAGTATGGCGATCGAACGTTGCTTTCGATAACTTCTCGTGAGGCCAGTACATAACCTGACCGAATAATGTCCCTCCTACGAGTATAGAATAGGAATAAGACGTAATTGTCTACCAAATGGGCAAAAGAATGAATATTTTTATACATGTTTGCCAAGAAATATAATTGGACATTAGGGGCATTGAAAATCCATGAGAAAAGTTCATGCTACGTAAGTGGTCCTTGTTTACAGAGTGCAGTTTTTGCGTGCAGCCGGAAGGAAGTTCATCCGAAAGCCGGCATCCTGGATAACTGAAATATTATAGAATTATGTTGCAGGCTGACTAATTTTACAACCCTTCTTAATTAATATTTTCTAAACGAATGCACTTTTCGGAATTTCGGTTGACATTTCATGAGTTAGCCCACCTACTGTACTCCGCTGGGCAAATCAAAGGCCGTTTGGCAGCAGATGTTGACGCCAGTACCCGAAGAAAAGGACACTCTTAAGCAGGGGAACCGACTGAGGTAAATAACACCAACCAACACAACCTTGTGCAGCCGCTCAGTGTAGAGGAGGGAACCGACGCAGAGGCAGGGGAAGATCAGACGCTGGGACTGCAGCCCGACTTCAGCGGACCCGTGAGAGACCCCTCGAGGTCAACAAACGGATGCTTCTGCGACGGCTGCTGCTGCGCTCCCTGTCTCCAGGAGGGTCGTTGTGGCTACTTCTCCTTTGGGACCGGGTTCTGGATCATTCGCCTGTGTGTCATGCTCAAAGACAAGCCCTTTCTTTGTTTATCCATGTTTTATATATTATGTGTAGGAATATATAAAGGAGCCGAAGATCGATTTAAAAAAGCGTGTTATTTGAGTGGCCGTTTTTACTGTGCGGTTTTCGCAGACGGTCGAAAAGAGGCGCATCAAAAAACCGGCGTGAATGAAATGTCTTGGGATTATGCTACACGATAATCAATATTACGACCCGTTCAAGTAAACCTTACCTATCGAAAAGACATTTCAGAATTACGGTTAACTGGCTGTATAAGCATCACCAAGGCGAAATCCAGAAGACAGAACTCAAACCAAGGCAGTCTAATAAGCAAGACAACGCTCCAGTCACTATGCCACGGAGCCCTCATAGTAGCCACTGTTGTCGTTACAGCTACTAGATGGTTTCCATCCGAACGCATTTTTGAAGAGCACAGTTGGCCTCGGTAAAATATTTTATTACGCTCATTATCACTGTTCTACAATCTACAAGATATGCGGTTCTCAAGGTTCGTCCGGGTTTTGGTTATTGTATGAGTTCAGACTCAGCCGGTTAAATGCTCGGTCCGTCACGCGAATGGACGGGGAACAGTTGTTGCCCTCAGTCTACCCGCATACATTATGCTGCCGCGGCGCAGTCTATCCTACTACACCTCACACACGACAGTTCGATCGTCGTTACCGACGATGTCCACTGTGTGCTCTGCAACAAGGTGAAGCAGACACGGTGACCTGTGCGTGATTTAGCTTAGAGTGAATTTAGACTTGCACAGCATCTACCGCACTCCCTCCTGCCCCCCCCCCGCCTGGACCCGGTGTCTAGACAGAGTCAAGAATACCGGAGGTCCTTCCCACCTCACACGCACATGACCCATCACATAAAGTCTAATTTCGTAAGACCGGATCAAATCGAAGACATATGTGCAATATCGATGGTTCTGCTATGTTTAGTCATGCTTTCCGAGACGATACCAAAGCCGACGGTACGGTATAGCAGTTAGGAAATCAACTAATTCGAACTGACCGGCATTGACATCTTCCGTTTCAATTAAGTCTAGTGGCAACAAAATCGCTCCCTTCAACTCGATGGGCCCCTGGCAATATGCACTAGTGTATCGAAATTACTGTATCCATTACCTGGCATGCAGAAACCGGGATATAGTCTGCTATATGCACTAACAGCCATAAACGCTGCCTGTTTTGTTCCATCTTGAGATTCGATCTCATCCACCGGTCATTTGGACATGGCGTTTGAAAAGTACACTTTGTTGACCTATACTTTCTTATCTTCAGAAGTTTTTCTTGTCATACCACTGAAGGAAATCGAGTGTGTTAAGGAATATTTTTGGGTCAGATGAGGTTATGTAGCCCCACCTGAAGCAAGCAAACCCCTAACCCTAAGCCTAACAATAACCCTTCGGCCTTAATCCTTACCTTTACCATAACTCTGACCCTTGACCGTAGCCCTAAACCCTAACCCGACAGTGTTGTGTCCATCGCGTGGGGCTAATTAACCACATCTTGCCATTTATTTAAAGCTGGGCATTTGGATAACCCATGGAGGGGAAGGGGATGGCGCAGTGTGTTGCCGTCTTCGCTCACACAATCGGCTTTATGAGTTTTCTCCTGCACTTTCACGCATGTTCCGTGCGACGAATGGACTAGACTGCACGGCTTACTTAGTCATCAGCCCGCGATCCCAGACTCGCTGATCCCAACCATCGTGTCAACAGAGACGACAGTGAGAACTACTTCTGTTGCTTCTCCCTTACACCCGTTCATCCAGCGCAGCTTGGAGCAGCCTTCGACCGGCCACGTTTTTTCATAACCCAGAGCTGGCGTATAAAGCAGGTGGGAGGGGAGAGAGGGCGGTTGGGTGGTTTGGCGTGTCGTCGTGGCCGTTCCTCCCACGGGCTTTAGGGATTTTCGCCGGATAGGGTCTGCCAGCCGTGAGTGGCAATAGCACCGACAGCTGCTGCAACGTGCCTCAGTTTCAGTTTATTAAGAGAAATATAGACGAGCGCCTTTGAACTCCCTATTGGTCACAATTCGTCGGAGAAAAAGGGAAGGTGAAAAAGGGATTTTGTACATAATCGCGGACAGCTGACAGCCAATCTAAAAAAGTAATACTTAACGGTTACTTACTGATTACAAGTAGTCCAAGTTGGTGTCGGGTTATGCAAGTGGATGTGAGGTTGGTAGTTGGGAAGCTTGATACGCGTCAAGTCTGCGCTTAAAGGAGTTCAGTTCAGTTCAGTTCAGTTTATTTGAGGGAAATATAGCTGTTGAACCTTTTAACTCCCTATTTGTTACAAGGAAGCGAACTATATAAAAAATCTGAAAATGGCAACAACAAACAGCTACAGAGTTTCTTCAGATTGGCAAAGTTTTCGATGCCAGACAGATAAACGAATCGTTCCAAGAGTTAAAAACATTAAAGTTGCTAAGTGTGCCATACAATATTCCATCTATGGATAGTTGGTGCTATCCTATTTTCTGAGGGAGACGAATTAAATGCCAACACACATTCAACAGACATGTGACAACAATAAAAAAGTAAACATTACTGAAATACAGGCAGTAATATAACAACATCAATAAACTGTTCGAACGAAATGCTAGACGTTGTCGGTTAGGTGGCATTATGACGTTTGGTGGTACACTGGTCCAACTTGTGCTTAAAATCCTCGACGGAGGTGGACATGACGACATCTGTAGGCAGAGCATTCCAGGTCTCGATCACTCTGTTTGAAAAGAAGAACTTCCGAATGTCCAGCTTGGCGCCAGTTACGCGTAGCTTAAGTGGATGATCTCGGAGGTTCGTTGTGGTCGCTAACACTTCGAGCTCTGCCTCCCGCCTTGGAAGTCAGTTCTGACTCCTCCAATTCTTGCAATTTTGATTCTCCACATTCTTGCTGAACATCCCTTGTTTCTGCCTTAAACGACGGTCCTCCATCCAAGT